TGGCTGTTATATTAATTTACTGGTTTGAAAGTTTATTTTTATTTAAGTGTTTTGATCCACAATGCAAAGTCACTTCCTCTATGTTGCATAGGAATCTGAGTTTGTCATTTTTCTTTTCCCTAAAGACTTAAAATTTTGGTTCCTGAACTTCCAGTTTGTTAGATTTTTTTCACCAGTGGGCTGCAGTTTGGGTACTGGTCCGTCTCAGTGTGAAGAGGTGCTGGCGAATCCCACGTAGCAGGTTTGAACAAAGCTGACACCATCAGTTTCTCCTGCTGAGTTTTTTCCTGACTTCTAATTGAAGGCGAGGGGCAGCAACATCAGTCTGATGTTGTTGGAGACGACAGCGGAGCAGCAGGATCCATGACGGAAATGAAAGTGTTGAGGTGTAACAGGAAGGCTGAAGGTCAAGAGAAGGTTGAGTGGTTTGTGTGTCTGGGTAGGAGAAGAAGATTCTTAATTTGTTTTTGAACTGAACCTATAAAAGAATGCGTTCAGTTCATTTCCCAGATACATGATCTCTGCTTGAAACCTGTGAACTTCTTTATCACTGACCATAGTTTATTATTCTTCTGATGAAGCTTGTTCCCCAGCTTTTCTCCTTATCTTGACTTTGGGATGTTTTTGTTCACTCTTCAGTAATTTCCTGTCTCCACCCTTGAAGGCTAGTGTTTTATTTGTTCAGGCCACCGCTGACCCAGAGTTTATTGGGATTTACCTCAGTGTCATGGTGGGGAAGGTTTTGTTCACACTAAAGTTACGTCAGTAACACCATCAGTAATGGCTTCTGTCTCTCACCATTCTTTTAAAGATGAGTGTTATACATATATTCCCTGCCACATACTGCCGTTTATAGCACAATCAGGTCATTGTTTCACCAGTAGTTGATACTGTATGAATATGCTGCTTTTGTAAAACATGATTTAAAAGAAATTTGAGTTTGTAATTTGACCACTTGAAATGAGGCCTCTGCCTTCAGCATGTCAACACAACAATGACAACTAACTGAGAAGTTGTTTGTCTGAAAAGCTCAGCAGATCACCAAGTTTGCTAATTGCTGCTGCTGCTAGTCTTGAGGGAACTGAGAAGGAACAAACATGCATGAAAAGAATCAAAGCAACACTCCAAATAAATTATGTTTTTGATGAGGGAATAACATTATAACATAATGTAAAGTCTAAAAAAGTAAATCTTGCATAATAACCCCGTTAAAATCAGAAGTTGAATCTGAAAAAGAACATTCAACTTCAGTTAGGCAGGGAAAGACAAAGTTTTGATCTGCCTTTCTATGAATAAGTTTTGCAGATAACTGATATGCATCATTAATGTCTGCATAAGACAAATGCAAAGATGTATATTCTTTGGTGAAAACATTGACATTCATTTTAAATGTCAAAGGCGTACAAGAGACATGCCGTCAAAATTTCCATATATCGTCGCTGTTTTTATTCACAGACTTTGGTTTCGGAGATATAATCCTTCAGTTATATGAAGCTCAACAGACTGTATTCCCGATACTGTGACTGAGTGCTTGTCAGCGCTTGAAGTTCATCCATCCTATTTGCTAAAGATCTCACATTCCCCATAATGAATAATAAAAATAGACGAATTGAACTTCCTTGTTCTCTCCCTCTATTTTTCTGCTGCTCTACATCCATAACCCCTTTTCAACTTTTCAGAGATTTGGGATTGCTATTTAGGTATTTCTTGAGCTTTTGAGCTGCTTGTAAACAACTCTTCTGTTGATAATGGCAGGTGGTTAAAAAGGGAAAAAAAACTCAAACATAACATCAAAATCAGAATGTAAACAGCAAAGTTTAAACCCAAAAGATGAAAAATCTGAATAAACAGAGTAACTGCAACATGCCACCATGTTTTGCAGTGCTGTACAAGAATCCACTAAAAATATTTTTATATTTAACTGAAGAATAAGAACCTCAAGTAAGACCTTTAGTTAATTTGCATTCTCCTTCATACATCACTTAGAAATTAGCTTTGTTCCTGTTTCATTATGAAGAAAGTGTTGGGAGACAAGTGGGTGGCCTGCATGCTGCATTACACCTAAGAGGCAGCACAGATCAGATTAGATCGCCTGATAGCAAGGAAGCGGCTTGTTGCTGAGTGTTATTATGAGCAGATGCAGAAATCTGATTCAATAACACGTGGCCTTTATCGGCATCACCCCTGAGAAATATGAATTTAAAGGCTTTTTATTTCCTCCCATATCTCACAGCGCAAGTCAACAAGTAACACGCCTATCTGTGCCCGAAACCGATTACGGTTGGGATGTTAGGATCGTCATTACAAAACAATTTCAGAGGAGAAATGTCTTTAGAACCATAAATATGTCCTTCACTGGAGCGTCTGTGCTTTGCTTCTGCCATCTAGTGGTGACACAGGAGCTTATTATGATACTGGTGCAATATTGTGGGTTTTCTGATCACATTTTGAAGATAATTTAAAATATGTACAGCCATGAGATGATTAGGTCAGTATAAGAAGACATAATTACAAGGTTATGCAATGAGTGCTGTCTCTCTTGCAATTTTTATTTGTTTGCTACTTTCATTTTTTATTTCTTTTTGTTTTTATTTTTTTGGAGGCTAATATTTACTGTGTCTATAAGTGGAGAAAAACTGATGAGGGCAAAAAAAAACTCTAAAACTGATTTCATAAAAATGCATGAAGAAAATTATGCATTTAGACAATCTGTTTTTCTTTCTTTAGAACACAGATATTCAGATTGAATGCTTGTAATGCAGATCATTTACTAAATTCACCCCTTAAAACTGAATATTTAAGCAGAAAATTTAACAATATGCCAGTATGTATCTACAATTTTTTCCACTGTTTTGTTTCTTTTTCTAATGGAGAAAATTTAATTATGACATGTAAAATTAGTGCACACAAAAAAACAGATTCACACCAACTTCCAGCTTCAATTTTTACACGATTCACTATAAAAGGCAGATTGGGTCTCTGTGGTTTGCAGGATTTCAAGCCATAGAAACTACTTTGCCATGTTTGATATAATACTTTACATTAAAAACCACTTTTCCTTAAATTGCTAATAAATGTTAAGTGCCTGCTTCTTCACTTAAACAAATGGAAAAGGTTGCATAGTTGCAGCATTAAAAGACATATTTCCTAGAAGATAAAAATGAGTGGATCTTTTATTTTACATTCTTTGTGCTGACTTCCATTACTTCAGTATTACACAATTATGACAGACCCAACTGCTGGCAGGAAAATCTCTTTAGGGAGAAACATTTTTAGCAACAAATGTTCTTAAAGGATAATGAAGAAGAGAAATCTCAGCCAAATGATTAAATCAAAGTTATCAGAGTCGTTTCAGAGGACTTTGGTTAAAACTGTGAAGCTGCAGTATGTAACTTTTACAAAAATATGTTTTTTTTTTGTATTTGTTAAAACTGTCACCACGTCGAGACAGTTTGGTAAGAGACAAATAATCTGTAAAAAAAAGATAAAACTCCTCCAGCTCCTCCCTGAGCTACTATCGCTGTGTGAAGAAATCGCTCACAATCAAAAACAACTAATCAGAGCCAGGAGGAGGGGCTTAGTGCTGTCAATCAATACTACTCAATGTGTTTATGGCAGAGTATCAACTTACTGTTTCAGGAGAAACGTTTATGCGCCATCAGCAGTGGTGATGATAACTAGCATTAGCATTAGGCCATGTTGTGGTGAACCAGCTGTTGCATAGCAATGAACAAGGGGAATGGGATGAGTATAAGATTGATTGACAGCAGAGGTGGAGACTCGAGTGACATGACATTCAGCAGGAAGCCGATGGACAGTGAGCAGGCCTCCCGTATCAGTGTTTTCCTACAAAAACCACCTCCTCCCCCCAGGGCTCTTACATTAGATGTACTGCCCCTACATTTCGTTGCTTTGTACATGTGACAGTGCAATGACAATAAAGTTGAATTCTATTCTATTCTATTCTATTCTCTGACAGCAGAGACATTTCCCATATTCTTAAATCCAACATACAAATTCACAAGAAACACAAGAAAATGGCTTTTAGATAACTGTCCACTGCAGTGACTGCTATGCATGGAAGGGATATACTGTCACAACATAATGGTCTTGTTAGGAAATACGTAAAAAAACAAAAAACAAAAAGAAAACATGTTTTAGAAAACTTATAATTTAAGATTAAAAAAAATATTTCAAACAATACTAACTTATAACCAGGTTCTGTAAGAACTGCCGTGTTCTTCTCCAGTGAGATAAAAACTTTACCATCACAGCGCCGTCTATCGCTGAGTTATTACCTCTTTGGTAATACCTGTCATCATTAGCTTCACATCAACATGAGCAAAGCTGAGGGAGGCAGCCATAATGGTCTGGTTCAACTGTTTATGCAATAAATCAAGAATCCATGAAGATGAAACAAGGTTAGTTGTTTTGATCTCATCCTCTTTAAATCTAGAAAAAAGTATTTTAAAAAGCACTCTTCTCACTGTTTTTAGTAAACCAGCAAACAAAATGTCAGTTATTTGGTCCATCTGTGCAGCAAATTATCATTCCTTTTTCCTGCTTTCTTTAGAGTTTAACAAGTACTAGAAAGAATCTATTCCTTAATTGTACATTTTGAAAGATGTGCGACGTCGTCTTGAAATGTGAGGAGACTTTAAATGGTCCAATGAAAGACAAATGGGTTCCTTACCCAGAGGCATTTTTTTTCCTTTCCAGCTGAACTGATTCCTATTACTCTCTCTTAAGCTGAGATACAAACTAGAATGACTCATTTAGACACTCTGCTGTCTGAAAAGTACATTCATAATTAATTCAGACTCTGTTATAGTCTAATAAAATCATCAGGATGAGGCTCCACTAAGGGTCAAATGAGTTCAGAGTCTGGCATCTGGTGCTAGCTGTACTTAAAATGTTAGAAACAATATGAAGCAAAAAGACTAGAATGGAAGTTTAAACTGGAGATGTTAATTTTGGTCATCAATTTTGATTTCTACTCTATCCATGGTTAGATTAATGTTTCCTTTTCTTTTACAGGAAACATGTTTATCTTTACAGCTGTGATTCATTGGTGCCTCATGCTGCACAACGCAACGCCAAATATGTGAGTAAAAAGCCTCGTTATTTATGTCTGACTGAATGATTTGTTGCCTCATTACAATACAAATAACACTCAGTCTCTGCACATAGTTTATATGAAAATATATAGGTATGCCTTTCAAAATTATTTGCTTTCTATGACCTACTTATTGTTGTGCATGAAAATGCTCTCCTCGGAGTTGTTACTAAAACAGCGTTGCTGTTCTAAGCCCTGAATACTGGAATATAGATAATGTGACCTGCAGCTGAGCTCCTGCAGATATACTTTTATTTTTATTTTTATTGAACATGTCAAGAAATTCTCTGACATGTGAATCATAACAGGAAATGACACACAAATTGTGCTGAAAAATATTAAACATCACTAGGAGATCAGTTATGGTTTCTAACAAAAACACTGAATAATTTCACTGGTGTCTGTAGTAGAGCAGCAGTAACAGAGCAAACAGTCCTGCATGCATTCTCCTGATTCTGACATCTAAGTTTTTCTCTTGATTGAGTCATCATGTATAAACTGTTGTATTCTGCCATGTTATCTATATTATAAATCGTAATATAATGGAAAAAACCAACAGATTTAATCTCTTTTGATTGACGGTCAGTTCTAAAAGATTGGATGACTCTTTTATTTATTAATATTCTTGTTGCGTGTCAAATCTGAAGCTCCACACTAAGAAATGAATCAGTTAACTTTTTGGCATAAAGCAATTCTCTTGTTTTCTGGGCTCTTAAATTGTTACCTTATAGAGTCATCACAAAAATAGTTTTTCTATAGAAAAAAAACATGTTAGTTTGATTTATGTCAGATGTTGTGTTCAGTTTCATCTTTCCCCCGCTGATGTATTTGAACATTTAGTCACTTTACAGAAGAGGACAAATGTTTTATGCGCTTGCTACAGCCTCCATAAACATGAACGAGCTTGTAAATTATACCATATTTTGGTTGTCCGAGATGAATGGGGATCAGTTTCCACCCTCGGCACGCCTTCAAATATATAACGTAGCTTCATTTTCTCAGCAGAGCAGCTTTGGTAATTAGAAAAGTGGTAACACACTTTAATTGAATCTCCCGACTGCAGAGACTCAGGCTGCCTGCAGAAGTAAACAGTTGGTTTTAATGGTGGAACTTCCATTACTTAAAAGCGGCATCACAAGCACAATAATTGGTTTCTTATCTTTTTAATTAAAATATTTTTATAATGTTTACTGGAGTAAAATAAATATAATACTTTTCCTGCTGGTTTAGTCTTCAGTTGACATCCTGCCTCAGGTTTTAGAAGAAAGCTGATTTGTGTGAAAAGCATACTGAACAAAAGTTACTGTAAATGCTAAATTATTAATAAAATTTGGGGTAAAGTTTGCACTTTTTAATCTGACACTGAAATATTTTATTGGCCTTGTATCATAAGTATGGCTTTTTGCACTCTGCTTTGTTTTAGCAAGCAAGAGTCTAGTCATTCAGTCATTAAATGCAATAACTATGTCTAGCAAACATTGATGTTTATATTATTGTTTGCACAAACTTCAGTGAATGATTAAATAAAAGAAGTAACTATTTAAATTATTTCTGTGTGACACTATACAGTTTTGCATTTTCACAGCTAGATGTCACTAAATCTCTGCATTGCACCTATAAGTTAATTACAGTCAATATTGTCAATATCAACCTGCCGAAACACCAAAAAGCTGACCTTTGACCTATGAGGGCAAGTTTACAGTTTATGACAAAAACATTTAGACAGTAAAGGTTGCATTTTAAGAAAGAAAGGTTAACATTGACTGGCTCTTGTTTTGTATTGAGCATTTCAATGTCTTTGCCAGGTTTTGTTTGTTTCCAGTTGGTCACTCTGACATTAATTCGTCCTTAGGGCCAAATACCAGCAGAGCACGGGCAGAGGAGATAACTGAAGGAGCAAGAACTCTTAAAACCCGGAGCCAAGGACTTCTGGCAGGGTTTCTGATGCCTTTGAGTCGATAATGGTGCCAAGGTAAAATCACACATTAAACATTATGATGCTAAAATCTCTGAGGTAGCCATAACAATGATTAAAGTTTGAGTCAGCTTCCTTTATTATGGCACTTTGTACATGACAGGTTACAAAGTCAACATTCTCGGTTTTGTTCACACAGCTCAAACTCCGTCGCATGTGACAAAAACAAGTTAACAAATATGATCTGGAACGTGTTTGATACTTACATTCAACACAAAATGTGTTTATTCCTGATCTGCGTTGTCAGTAGATTCCGATCTTTCAAGTTTTAATATAGTACTGGCATGCCAAAGAAAAGCTCATAGTTGCTACAAACATTCCTCCCCTCTTGTCCTATTGTGTTTAGGCTATGAAAAAAAAAACAAAGTCCACCAACGTTCTGCATAAAAAGTTCTTGTGTTGTTCAGCCAAAAATACAGATATATTCAAGAAACTGTACAAAATCCACTCCAATTTGCAAAACAGAGACAACGTTAACGTATGTTGACACACACAGCAACATCCATCCAGAGAAAATGTGTGCACAATGTTTTTACAGTCAAAATGACGAAGGTAAACAGGTTGCATTGAAGTGCTACGACATCTTTTCGTTGGCACACTAGGAGTAACATTTATAGTTTTTACATCTGAGAGTAAGTAAACTGTCGACATGCATTTTCTAGAACCAGCTCAGCGAAAAAATATCCCCTCATTCCATCTGGATATTTCTTTAGTTAGTAGCTTAGTGATTAAGCTGTATCATGACTTGTCAGATGTCTTTCTCTTCTGCAGTGGATTGTGCGACAGGCTCTTGTTCTGTACATGATGCATGAGCAGCAGGAATAAACCGGAAGCATTCAGCAGCTGCTGTTTAGTAAAGCTGTAGAACTAAAAAAAATAACATGCTACTAAAAGCTGATATGTTACTGTAAAGTTCAGCGTTTTGAGGAATAAAATTGAACTTGTGCAAATTAGGTAAATGGTAATTAAACTACAGAGTTGTCAAAAAGCATTCTACATGCTGTAAACGTTTGCAGGAGAAGACTTTTGAAAGGAAGTGATTTAATTTGAGATGTTTGTCTTTCAGGAAAACTGCTCTTCTATTTGGACGGGAATTCAGTAAGAAGAAATTCTTCTGAATGTACACACAATTTAAAAAAAGAATTGGTAATTATGAAACCAAATATGCATAAATGTGACATGTAAAACGTTTTATTACTTTGGGAAGTTAGGCAATGAAATGGTCAGCCTTGCTGCAAAACTGAGGTATTTCTTTGACTTCATCTGCTTGTGGTGCTGCTGTAAATTAGACGGCCCTAGTTCAGTAAACTCTCTGGGTTGGCCACCAGCCTGGGGGTGTAGAGGTGTTTACTCATGAGAATACCAGTGCAAGGGTTGGCTGCTTCAGAGGATTTTCCAGGGGTTTGTAGGTATTGCGTTTAGGTCCGCATCCAGCTCAGAGGCACCCAGAAGGAATCGCGCTCCAATCTTTCCAAAATGCCGCGCAGTTCAGCGCAAGCGCTGGCCGAATCCTCCTTGATGAGGACGCGGTCCACCAGGTGTCCGTACTGCTGGTCGATTTGAACAGCAGACTGACGCATTTCCTGCAGATCTTCATCCTGAGGGGGAGGAAAAAATAGCAGTGGTAGGTACTCAGCAGGACTAAAATTAGACTTGCGTGACTTTAGGCTAAGTTAGGAACTTGGATTTTAAACATTCCTGCCAATGAGTGATTCAGTCAGCTGCTGAAAGTAATGAGTCAAAAGAAAATTTTCTACTACTGAGGAATTAATCAACCATAAGATCTAGACTGGATAAAGCAAAATGTGCTACGATGACGAAAGTATATAACATCTAAAACAAACATTCAATCTTTATTTTAACAGAATAAAACAATCTTTTTCAAGGTACTCCTCCTGACCAAGTGTCAACAAAAAATACAATACAATACATTTTGTCACTTGTATTGTATTGGACCCTATGGAATCCATTTTACATTTTCTTCTGCACTATTAATTGATTTGAAACAAATCAATTAATAGTAGTATTTTTTTTATCTTGCAGATAAAAATACCACGTTTTACACATTTGTGTAAAACATAAAATTTGTTTTCTTTTATAAAAATCGGTCTGTCCTGGTTTTATTACTTGTCAAAGTTATAAAATTTTCCTTTTGTCAGTCTAATCAAGTGAAGAATGATGTCCAGTTCATTGAAAGGATGTCTAAATATGAGCAGTACTCACCGTAAGACGCCCGTGTTCGCCCCCTCCTGGTGAGGTGGCTGCACTGCGGCGACGCCTGCTCTCGGGAATTCGAGGTTTGACAAATATAACATATGGCTTGAACTCTCCAGTTCGTAGCCTCTTCAGCGCCTGCAGGGAAGACAGATTTACACACAGAGGTCAGGAAGAAGAGGCGGAGCGGCAAAGTCGAGAGGGAAATGTCAAACAGTTTGCTGAACACATATAACAAGACTGCAAAATGTAACTCATTTTGACATGTTATGATAGAATATTTTGGTATCTATTCTGAACATTCAAAAATAATGGAAAAAAAAACCCATCCTTCTCACCTCAGGCTGCACATCAACTATACACATCTTATTCTTGGCTTGAACAGAGCGGATGGCCTCTATACTGGTGCCATACTGGTTTTCCTTGTACTCCCCATGCTCTATAAATCTATGGGGGGAAAACAAAAGAAAAGATATTTTATCCAAAGTAGATGAGTCTTCTGGTTTCTTCCATTTTTATAAATTAAGATCAGATGGACAAAGAAGTTGAAGCAAACAGCTAGCTGGAGAAAAGCTAATGCACATTTCTTCAAAACTATCTTAGGAACCTTTACACTGTTGCTATGTTTGCATTGGGTGGATATTAAAGAACCCAATGAAGGAAGTGACACTCTGCAAATGATCTTCCAGTGAAAAACGTACCAAGTGTATAGTCATTTTGTCAAATAACAAAATGAACAAATTCCCAGCTGTTCTGCTAAAAAGATGGAAATGTTTTATGAATTTAAATCAAGAACATTTTATGTCTGAGTTTGTGAATGAATCGAACAAGCTGTGCTTTTAACTTGAGTTTCTTTTGAGAGACGTCTCTGCAGTCACTGTTACAACACTGAAACAAACACAAACAGATTACACTCTCTGTGCACAAAGCTAACATAACTAATCAACATGGTAACACTCATTTGCTCAAGTCTGGACCTGATTTTAAGACAAATCTAATATTTCTTGACTTGCTTACGTTGCAGGCTTACATCCCAATCTCTAACATGTACTGAGAAACATTGGCAGTCAGCAACTGATGCAAAAGGCAAATATATTATTATTACTATTATTACTATTGTTAGACATTAACTGCTTAAAAAAAATAGAATCAAATGTTTCAATAAAAATTCCTGATGCAGGAAAAACCTACTCGTTGTTTAAAGCGTCTGCATCAAACTGCTGTTTGGTGACAAAGTGATACTCCACTCCGTCCTTCTCATGAGGTTTCTTAGGCCTGGTAGTATCTGTGTTAACATTGAAAAAAGAAGAAGCAACATTTCGCTTGTCATTGCTTGATTCTGTTAGACTGCAGAGTAAAAATGCTGACAGACTTACGTGGAACAGCTACAGCATAACGATGTGGGTTTTCAGCTATCACTCGCTGCTTCAGCTCATTGATTCGTGCCCCAAGCGAACCTTGGAGAGAGATATTGAGGAGAACATACTATGATAATATTTGGATGTCATAAATGAAGATTGCGTCTGCTTTCAGAGGCTTGGACTTACCAATCAGAACCACCAGCCGTGGCCTCTCACTAGACCTGTGCTGGTAGCGGGTCACCTCCTCATAGGTCAGGAAGTCTGACTCTCCGATCTCCGAGTCCTCTCCCGACGATCCCTGCCGATCCTTACGACTCAGTCGGAAGCTTCTCCGTAAACCAGCTGGAGCAAGAATGAGCAGCTCTGCTCAGCTAGAGCACACACACCGCTCCTCACACATTCTGAGCATGTGCATTATGTACAATCTCAGCATCATGCATTATCAAAACATTTGTCGAGGTGCATATATGCTCGATCAGAAGAAGAAGTTATTGATGGTGTGAATTTCATGCTTCAGAGAATTGTATTACATGCAATTAACAAAAACCTGCAAGGTTTGGTTTCTTGTAACAAAAACATTTCATTGACAATATTAATATCAGTCAATTTTTGTTCAGGACATGCTGCTTGGCAAGAGGTTACAGTGCTGAGGCAGGACACTGAGGACCGCCTGGCCCAGGGAGACCCGCACTGAAACACAGGGACTGACCTCAGGGTCTCCCACGGCCAGAACGGTCTGGACCCCCTCCCCCTGTCAGATGATTGAGCCGGCCACTGTACCTGAATAAAATTCCCAGGAAAACACCTGGCCACAGGAGGGTGCCACTGCTTTACACTTAGAAGAGACTATAACTGGTGTTAGAGCATCACACAACCCAGCCTCACACCTCCACATAAAGGTGAACGAGCAACAAACGTGCCTGGTTGAGTGTGCAATGCGTCCAACGCAGGAGGGCCCTCGTGAGGGTGGGGGAGGATGTGAAGGGGAGCTGGTTCTAGGGAGGGGAGGAAAGGGTGGAGCAGCGCACTGACCACAACAACAGGGGCAGTTAGGTGGAAGCAGGGCAGAGGGGAGGGGGGGTTCAGGAGGATCCAAACACTGTGAGGCAAAGACAGCGGGAAGAGGAGGGAGGGTTTACGGCTTCAAGCAGGTCGACAGGAAGCACAAATACGGGCTGTTAAGGTGTTTCATGTCACAGCAAATGTGTGGCGTCAGGCTTTCAGCTGTGTTTAGGTCACGCCGTGTGCTCAGCGTCATTCGGGCAGCGGGGCAGGGCGGGAGAGCAAATGACGTTCAGGTTTAAGAAGGGAGATGGAGGGAGGAGGGAGAGCTACAGAGGAGGCTAATGCATTAGCTCCACAAAATCACATGAAGAAAAAAACTGCAACTCAATCATACATACCTATGGCCTGGCTTTCTGTTTTGAATACATGAAATGTAATAATAGTGAATTATTTTATTAAAAAAACAGCTAGTTTTCATTTTAGAATTTAGTCTGGCTTCCAGAAAATCAGAATATTAGTAAATGAATCATTTCTTGATTTGGCAAAAAGGGTCTGCGCTTCCCCGACTGTATCCAACCCAGGCAACTTAACCTCAGACTTAAAAATTAGAAATATTTTTACATTTTGTCACATTATAAACTCTTAATCAGCCTTAAAAAAAAAAGTCATTTTGACCCCAACCCAAAGCCCAGAGGGGAGCAGCGCACAGCCAGGCTGCAGCAGGCAAATAAAGCAGAGAGGAAGAGCAAGTTGGAGAAAGATGTGCACACTCTCACCTATGTACTGTCCATTGAAATAGCCCTCACAGTCACAGTCCTCTGTTGGGAGGCAAGCAAGGTAGAGAGGGGGGGTAAGCATTGGGGAAGAGACCTGGAGAAATTAAAGAGAGGATGGAGGGAGAGCCGAGGGTGGAGGAGAGGAGAGGCATGGCCCAACCGGAAGCAGACAGGGAGACGACAGGTGGAGAAGCAACGGTAGAGCTGCACTGATCCGATATCACTATTTGTATTGGTCTTGATAATGAAAAGAAATCTTGATCAGATATGGCAATGTGCCTGATTCATAAGAGCGGATCCATGTCATGACGTCATGTTTCATTTTTTATTTCACTTTTCTGAACCATTTCAAAGAAACCTTTGACTACCTTGTTTGACCAAAGTAGTCAACCTGTTGTTTTTGTCAGTTTCTGTTTATTTATTTTACATTGGATGTTTTTATTATTATTATTATTATTATTATTATTCCTAACTAAACAAATTAAAGCTGTGTTGTTTTTCCATGATTGACCCAGCTGTGAATTTATGTAAGTGTGTTGTTCCGGTGCTGAATTGTCACACAAATGTACATTTCACTATGTCTGCGTTTTAAAATAAGAAACGTTTTAAGTCAATTCTGCACCATTTTTCTGCATCGGCCAATACTAAACTGAAAATACTAAAAGTAGATCGGTGCATCCCTAGTTTAAGCTTGTTGCCTTTTCCTCATAAAATCTATGCAAAACTCAACATTATTTACTGGAATGTGTTTCTATGAGAGTTTAGAATACATTAAAAAGCTGAACACATTGCAAAATGGAAAATAGGAGAGCATTACTCAATGCTTATCAGCCTTTAGCTTGGTTGAGCTCATGTTTCCAGTCATGCTTCTCTACCTGTGCATCACCTGCTGCAGTAAACACAAGGATCTGCCTTGATGCTCCAGCAGCAGGAGGGGAGGAAATAAGCTCCAAGCTGCAGAAATCCCAACGTCTTTCACCCCCACACACACAAACACACTCAACCTTTAAGGCCTCATGATCTGTATACATGTTGTGGATGGATGAGTGTAGCTGCACATTCACCCACCTTTGTCGCATCCTTCAGCTGATGCAGAATGCAGCAAAGAAGAATAAACAGGATTAAAGACAGAAAAAGAACCTGGTTTTATATTCATGACCACTGATAATGGGTTGAATGAGTTCCAAATACGGCACTAGGATGATATCAGAGACAGGAAGGGAGACGCACATTTTAAAAGCTTATGTCAGGTTTGGTTGGATAAACTGAGCAGGAGGACTGGAGAGTCCCTGCAGGTTTGCTGCTGCTGCTGCTTAAAGTAGAACAGCGAGCTGCATCCTGCTAAGCTCCTGTCTCCCTGCGGCCCAGGCCTAATCGGATGGCATACAGTTAATGCACCACAAAACATCCTCTCGATGTTTGCATGTTGTGTACCGCATCAGGTGAGAAGTGTGGTATATTATTGATGCAGGGAACAGCTGCTGTTTTGCTGTCTGGAGCAACTTGGACTTGGCCAGATGGAGTGAACATTAAAGAGATTAATTCATATCTGCAATCCCTCCCCTTCTCCTCTCCCTTATCCCTTTAAAAACATGCCATCACCAAGGGATGAACAGTGAATGCTAATGGATCCAGGAACAAAGAAAGAAGAATGCCAATAAAAATCACTGAAGGTGAATAAATATCTGTGAAAGACATGTTATTACATTAGTGACAAAAGAAGAGGTATAGGTGGGGGCAGCTGGTCATAAACTGGGATTAGTAAAAATGTAAACGGTGAGGTGAAACCCTGAGAAGCAGAAACTTACAAGCAGACTTTTTAGGGGATTTTGGATTCGGTAGCGTGCCCATTTTCATCCTGTAGGCCAGCCGCCTGGAGGGATGTGCAGCATAGAGCCAGAGAGGATAAAGGCAGGCGGAGAATCATCAGGGCAGAGACGAGAGTAAGCAGAAAGTAAGAGGGGATTGTCAAGAATACAAGACCAAGCAAACATTGACAGAATATGACACAAAGGATTACCAGATTCAGTAACACAAGACAGCTGTATGTAATGTTTAGCAGTTAAATAGAACCAGGACAAAGCCATGTTGTTGTTTTTTTCATGTTTTGCATGCGTGGAGCCCTATATTTTTTTAATCTTTTGACTCTTTCTAGAAGTTCACCTTTAGAGTTTGGCTGATCCATAAATTTCCATTTCCAATATTTACAAAACTATTTTTTTATTGTTCTCACTGTTGGTGTTTTAGTCTCTATATCATGAGGCTCATGCTTTTTATTTTTTAAGACAACAGTGTTTAGATCTTTGCTTTGACAGTTCAGTTAATGAAATGTTTTGTCTTAGCAATTTAAAGTTTTTGCACCTAAAAATACCATTAATTTCATTAGACTGTTTAGTATTGGGGACAAAAATCGTAATTTTGACATTCCTACAAAGTATATTCCAGACATTTTTGTCCTCTACTTGTCAACTGTCCTCATGTTTTTTCAAACAGAAAAAATAGTGAGAAAACTACCAAAGTCTTAAGAAAAACTTTCAGATAACATAAAAAGCAATTTTTGGGGGATCTTTTTAAAATATAATTTGTCTTTATTTCCTTGTAGATACCGGTGATTATCTTTCGTACTTATTTTGTTTCAGCAAAACTGAAGTATTTCCTCAAATAGAGAAATGGGCTCTAACAACCCACTCAGTAATTTTCTATTACAAATTGAAGCTTATGCCAGTATTCTTGTTTAATCCCTAAGATTAATGTAAACTCCACATATGTGCATTTTCTTCTCCACATTCCTGTTTGTTGTTAATCCAGCCGTGGCTGCAGAGTTTGGCAGCCACCTCCCTGCTGAGATCATCTCACTGGTGGATTATGACACTCACAGTATCAGCTTGTGCCCATTGAACGCTGTATTTCTGCTTATTTTTTCCCCCTCTTCTCTGATGCTCCATCTAATCACAGCTGACCTCTGTCAGTGGAACACATGAACGTGGATTTGAAGGGATTACAAATGGCAGAATGAGATGAACCGGTGATGTCCGGGTGAATCCGTCAGCGCTGGAGCTGCCGAACGTTCTCACCTCTCCTGGAACTGTTTGGATGGGATGAGTCCGGCCCGCAGGTTGCTGTCTCCCACGCGTTTGGCCTGCCACCACGTGGGGTCGTCCTGCGTCACAACCTGCAAGATGTCGCCCCGTTTGAAGGGAAGTCCCGCTTCCTGGCAGGGGGTGGCCTTGTCTTCCAGAGGGGTGTAGTCAAACAAGGCTCTCATATAAACCTGTGGTAGAAAATTAAAGAACAGTTTTAATGAGCTCAGGTGTTTTTAAGTGGTCCTAATGAGTAGTGTATGTTAATAAAAGTAACATACACTTCCAGTTGGACATGTTTTCATCTCACCTTGCTCTCCCTCAGTCTGTCCTCCTCTTTAATGGCTGGGATTATCTTTAGAGTGATGGAGCCCTGGGATTGGGACTAAGTCACAAAATAGGAGGGTTAGAACTACAGCTGGATGCTCAAAGCAGAAAAACATGAAGTTTAGTTCTGGTTCATTGTTTTGGATCAAAATTTAGGGTAAATATACTTTTTGTGAAATATTTGTAATTCCTAACAGTGACTTTTGCAAAGAAATTCTGTCATTTTATTTTTCTCTGTTATTGTTTTAATGTTATGTAAAGTAATTGAAAGCAGCTACTTCCTGCCTGAATTCAACTTCCTTGGTGAAAACTTTCACAGGAATGTATAGTGTTATGTGTGTTCTTCTTACCAACAGCTGACTGATCTCGTCTGGTCTTTTGTGGATCACTGAAACTCCATTGACTTCCCTGAGTTCATCTCCTACATGGACTAAACCTGTAAAAAGCAGAAATGGGTTAAAACATAATGATAAAAAAACAGTCCCAGGGAACTCCCAGTGTCGTCCATGTTGAGTCGTATCCTAACATCTGTCTGGTTGTCACAGCAGCAGACTACGGCGGTTTCTATCCTCCACAAAAGATATTTTGAGCTGCAGCCACAACAAAGGAAACAAATCTGAGAGAAGATCAATATTCCCTCTGGGCAAAGAGGCTCAGCGAACACATTATTATACAGTCACACATGTATTATGTATGCATTCAGCAGGAAACACTCCTAAGCTCCTTTCTTAACACTAGCAACACATTTTTAAGGCTGTAAGAATTCAAGAGGATATTAAAATTTAATGGATATGGGAACTAATTGGTTGATGCACCCAGCAGACTGATATTTCGTAAAGACCTTTATAAGTGTGTATTGCATGATGGATTCTGACTCATGGAGTGCTTTGTGTTTCAGCTGCAGCTGCAGAACCTCTCATGTTTCTCCTGCTGCAGCATCTCTCCTTCCAACTTTAATCATTCTTTACAGAAACCAGCTTCTTGTTTTTCAGCCCTTATATTTCTGCATATTTGGTTCTTTTTACTCTTTTCAATTTCATTTTCTGCAAAAAGAGAAACGCAGTGGCATTTCCCTGTTGATCAGAAACTCTGATCATCATCCTGCTTGAAAGGGAACTGAGATACACAAATACAGCTTTTATTTTGCATGTAATTTTTATTTATTGCTGTTTTTAGAATTTAAAACAAAAATCCATCTTAGTGTTTTGAAACCCACAGAGGAGCCTCATCTGTGCTCGCTGTAAGCTTATCTTGTAAACTCAAAATCCCTTATACTCTTATTTAATATGCCACACTTTTAATCAGTAATAAATAATTAGCATTATCAAGTATGTAAAAATCTGACCAATATTTTTAGTGAAATATGTCAAATGCTAACACTTTTACATAGTGTTTTTTTTGGGGGTTTTTTTCCGGTTGAATTTCTCATTTTCAGTCCCGTTTAATTTTGTCAGTTCAATCGAACTCATAGAAAGTGAAAATGTTTAGAGAACAAACAGACATCTGAAAAAACTCAGATGATTTGACAAACTAAGCAAAATAAACATGGATCAATAACAGCTCAGATTACTGAGCCTCATGCACAATCTTGTTCTATTTCTCGAAACAGTGTAATTGACTCTTCTGAACAGCAAGAATATTCTGAATCTGTGATTTAGCTGCAAAAACATTTGAGTGTGTGTGTCTGTTTTACCTGTTCAGCAATTACATTTGCATTAATGCTGACTTTATTTGACATTTAAAAGTATATGTTTGTTTCATAGTTTTTTTTTTGTCAAGATAAAATAATTTACTGATGCAAGATAAACAGGAAAAAAGTTGAATTTCAACATAAACACAACAAAAAGCATGATAAATTTTTATATGCCAAAAGAAAACTTTAAATCTTAACGTACCGCTTCGATCTGCAGCACCTCCTCTCATAATCCGCGCCACGATCACGGCTCCTGTTGCCTCATCCCGTCTGATTGTTGCTCCCTGACAAAGAAACAAAAGTTGACCGAAGGAAGCACCTTTCTCCTGCAGGTCCTTCATCCTGTTGTAACTCACCAGAGGCTCCTTGTTCTTCACCAGTCTGACAATCTTCACAGATTCCTCATCCAGCTCGTCTTCGAAGTCATCGGGCAGCGGAGGGAGCACGGGGTCAAAGTTCTTCTGGGCCACGGTGTCATGCACTGAGAGGACAGCCTGATGGGATTTAAAATAGAGAATAAACTCCTGCTGCTGAAATAAACTAAAAGAAAGGTTATTTTAGAGGGGGCAGTATTACATGTTTTCCAGGCACATAGTCCAATATGTAAGAATGTTATGCATACAGCTCTGGAAAAAGTGAAGAGCCTGCTGCACTGAACCCCATTGAAAACCTCAAGGTTATTCCATAAAATATAATATCTGAACTCTTCCTGAGTTAAAATGAACATAAACTTGTTTTCTTTGCATTATTTGAGGTCTAAAAGGACTGAATCATTTTCATTGTTTTGACCATTTCTCATTTTCTGCTAATAAATACAAAATTTTTGCTTGAAATTCCAGAGACATTTCAAGCAAAAATTTAAACGCCTCTGTTTTTGTTCTATTGCTCATAGAATAAAAGAATAATGCTCATTTTACTCAAACATAAACCTATAAAAAGTAAAGTATCTGAGAAACTCATAATTTTATGTTTTCTCTTAATTTTTTCCAGAGTTGTAAATATGACTTGAAAGAAATTTGACTTCATAATTTAGCGCCTTAAAGTTGGGCTTTAAAAACTCCTGCTCTTTCTGAAACTCCACCCTCTGGAAGACGTCTCAACGTCAATCCTATATTAACCCTTCAACAACATTTTTACCAGTGTTGAACTGAGAAGTAGCTGGTATAATGAGTTCTGTTTGCTAGTTGACCCTGGCTAGTCTGAAGGAACTGAATAGTGGAGTTGTGGGAGAGAACTCCACCTCTGTGAGGTGGAAGCTCTGAAGCATGAAAACCTCATCTCGGAGGAGGAGCTGCATCTTGAAAGAGGAGCAAAGGTCCACCCAGATGTTTTGCACAGCTGAATGGTGAGATTAAAGAATTCCTCAAACAAGAATGAAAGAATCAACGCAACACTCCAGGTATGTTCTGATGTGGGAATTAACTTTACAACATTATGTAAGATTCAAAAAGGTAAATTTTACATAATACTCCCCCTTTGAATGTGTAAAAATGTAAAGTTACAGCTTTAGTTGCAGCTCCTTAAATGAATTTTCTTAAAATGGAAGCACAGTTGTTGGGATTGGAAAACAGAAGCTGCTGATTGTGTGTTTACCTTCAGATGTGGTGACGTCAGCAGGTGCAGCAGTTCCTTCTCCTCTGAGCTCATTGGTCCAGTCTGCAGCTCCTCTGCCACCTGAGAAATCCCCAAAAACCTTTAAATGCAGCTGAACACAAACGATGTTCCCTCAGCATACAGTGGAGTAATTAGAGACTGCTACACAGACAAACAGACGGAAAGAGGAGTAGCAAATAACGGAGGTCAGCACTTTCCTCCCACTGACGTGAGGAAGAGAGAAGCAGGATGTTAGGCTTCATTAGAGGAGCGTCAGGATGATTCAGCACATTTGGCAACATTAAAATTCATTTTTGAAACTTGCATTGCTTCTCCACAAGAGCTAACTCACAGAGGCTGGAAGCTGCTTTGAAGTGGGAAAATAAATTATGGAGTGTGTGAGATGAGCTTACATTTTCAGCCAGAGAGGAGGCGCTGTGGAGCACCGGCGTGGGGTTTTGTCTCTCGTACTGTCTCAGCTTCTCGTGAATCTGTGGACACAAAAATATGTCCAGGGATGATTTCAGCAAGGCTGTGGGTTAAACTCTGATCGGCTGTGGCACACACGCTAATTTAAACAAAGATGGATAAAATATTATATTATTACAGAAGACACACCAGAAATTATGAAAAAGATAACATTTGAACAATATCAAACTACCATTTTTATGTAGCCTTGGAAAAAAAACCTAGCACACCCTCTTTCCACATTTGGGAAGCTGATGAGTCCCATTAGGAAAGCTTAAAGCTGAACACACTCATAAACCTATCTGCCGGGAAGTTAGTAAAGGAAAAAGCTTCAATATTTTTTGTCCACCTTTTGGGGAAAAATTACTGTTCCACTGGTCACCGCTTCGGACATATAAACCAGAAACCATAAGTCCAAATAGTGAGAATGAGGATTTTATCTGTTCAGGAGAAATAACTCTTCAACCCTGCTGGTCCCTTTTCCTTTAAAGTCAACAAAAGTGAACTCTTCCGGAAAGAAAAAAATATATTGCGAAATCAGAATCAGTATTTTTCTTGTGCTCTTTGGAAAAAACAAACTTTTTTATGTGTTAGGAGCTCCATAACTCCCAACATGTCCCGTTGACGACAGACGTGTTGTTAGACAACAACTGTATTGGTGAGAAAAGAAATTAATGGTTACCAGTGCAGCTTGTGTTGCTGCAGAAGTATCAGAACGTTGGTGAGTAAATTGGTGATTTTGAAAATGTAATGATACCAATATGAAAGACACAGACTCAGTGAAATGCCGGCATTATGGCTGACGTGGCCCCAGGTCTGTCGCCAGGTCTTCTCAGGTCTCCAGAGAACATAACCCTCTGGATTACTTTCTACTCACGGCGGATCTAATTTTAGCTTTGGAAAACT